AGGAGTTGTAAAATCACTGGTGAATAATTAGCAAGTAATGGGTTGAATAGAGCAACAAAGCAAAATGTTTTGGAAATTACTAGTTTGAAACCAAGAAAACAAGCATAAAGAAAAGAGGAGGGAGTTCAACCCATTATTTTAAATGTATCTTCATTGATATACAAATTAGGAATAATATGCTAGATTAGCCGAGTGCCATGAGGCATAAATGCAAGCATGATTTACTAGTGATTAAAGAAACATAGTGGGATGATACTTAATTATGGAATATTGGACTGGATGGGCCCACACTTCAAAGGAACAGTCAACATAACAGAGGAGATGGCATATTCTATCAGGAATAAACTTATTAGTACAGAGGTTTACTAGATTTGTGGTTAACACAAGTGTTGAAAGAATCTGATGAGAAAAAGGCCAAGCTGACAGAAGGGATATTTTGCTAGGTATCTGCTACAGACCATTAACCATTAAAGTAGCAGATGAATATTTATTAAAGCAGGTAACTGAAGCCTGAAAAAGCTATGAAAGAAGATGAGCTAGGATTAGTGAGAAAGGCAAAATCAGCAAGAATGTTTCTTAAATATGTCAGAAGAAAGAAAAACAAGACAATGGGATGATACTTAATCCAAAAGGAGAAATCTTAACAAGTGACCAAGAGAAAGCAGAGCAACTCCAAGTTTGCCCTATCTTTATTACATACAAAGGAAATGATGATTTAAGCAGCACAGACTGAAACAGAAAAGAGTGCAGGTCAGCAAAGAAATGATAAAAGATCTAGCTAATCTGAATGCCTTCAAATTCCCAGGTCCCAAAGCTGTTAGAAGAGCTAACAAGTTCTGCTACGTTAGAAGAAGTGCTGCATCAAAGACACATAAAGTCCTTACTATTCTCTACTCTCTGTTGAGACCACCTCTGGAGTATTGTGTATGATTCTGGGAACCACATTTCCATAAGGATATAGACAGGTTAGAGTAGGTCAAAAAGATTATATTAATCTGAGGATATGCTCTGAGGACAAGTTGAAGGAATGTGGAATGCTGCAACTGGAGAAAGGGACGACTAAAGGGGAAATCTCGTATCAGTAGTTGAGGTAAGCCATACAATAGAGAAATATTTTGCATTGTCATTTTGGGACAAGAAATAATGGATATAAGTTGCATTTTTTATTTCATTTAGATATAAAGAAAATCTTCCTGATGGTATGACAGTGAAAAAGTCTAACTACAGAAAAAGTGACTCTTCTTTCTCCAGTAGTTTTAATGAAAAGGGATCACTACTTGAGCATAGGTCCATTGGTTTGCACAGCACAGGACTGGAGTAGATAATTCCAATGGTTCCTTCCAATTCCATGGTTACATGAAGAAGATAAAATAATACCGTTCTTGCTTTATAGATTTATAAGGATCTCAAACAAATGGCTTGGATCTTAATTTTCATTTCAGAAATAGAACAAATGTAGCTTAACTAGAATAAAGGATTTGAACCCATGCACACTCATACGTCATACGTCATACATCAAAAAGCTACACCTGAAAATTCAAAATCCCTTGGGAACTTGGTACATATATTATTATATACTTGGTATACATAATGCAACCTATATGAATGGGCTGTTAAGTTGCAACTGTTTATTAGGTAATTTCATTAATTATTTATTATCAGACAATTGGACAATTTCCAAAATTTCTACTATTTTTGCCATTATTAGAAAAAAGCATTGTCTATGCACTTATAGCATGCCCTTGTGTGATCTACAGCAATAAGTAAGCCAACCAGTCACTTGTTTGAAATGGGTGGCTACAGGAATGAATGAATGAGTAAAAAAATAAATACATTTAAAGTATTGGGGGTTTTTTAGGTTCAGCATGAAGCAGCAGCTCTTTCCATGAACTACAAAATAAATGTCCTCAGCCTGCATTATTAAGGAACAGCAATAGTTTTATGTTCTCCTATTCGGCAATTACTGGAACATGATTCCAAGAAATTGTATTTCCTAGAGACATGAAGCCTGACATCTTAGATGACCAAAGGAAACTGTTGCCCAACCTTGCGAAGTAGTTAAAAGAGCCAAATTCTTTCTCTTTCAGACTGCGATGAGTGATTCATCTCATCTCCCTGGAGGCTTGTGTTGGATGTTTATGCGTCATATGCTTGCTAGAAGCCTGGAAAAATACATATAACTAACCATCCTCTTAAAACAAGCTGCTCATGACAGGAATAGTGCAGAGCATCGCTGCTGAGCTCTGGTTGAAACATGCACATTTTCTCATTTATTTACTGCAGCTGACTTTGATTTGCATACATTATGTCGTAAACTGTTAAAAAGAAGTTGGTGTGTTCTTTTTCAATATTGGTCTATTTCCAAAAATGTTCAGAAATATGCAGATTAGGTGTGCATTTAAATAGTGCCTGTAACTGAGCCCACGCTTACAGTCATAATTCATAGTGGTTGTTAAGCAGGCCACCACATGACCTGATTTTATGACCTGTTTTGCAGCAGTCATTAAGCAAACACCGCAGTTGTTAAAGGAACCCATTTTCTTCAATGGGCCCTTTTTGTCAGGAGTGCCGAAGTAAATATTGAAAATTGTATTCATGTGACCATGAAATGCAGCAAACAGACATAAAAGTGCAACGGTTGCCAACCACTCAAAATGTGATCATGTGATGGGGGGGCCATCGGACCCTCTAGCCTGGTTCATTAAGTACCTTTGGGGAGGCCTGTCATAACCATAACCAGTCATTAAGTGACTGGTCTTTAAGCGAAGATTACCTGCAGTCTCAAAGATACTTTTCTTTTCTTTAAAAAAGTTCATACATTGTAGTAATAAGTAAAACTGCCCTTAAACCAATATTTCACAGTCTATGCCTTAAATGTAGTTGGAGAGGGGCTGCTTTAGTAGATCAGTGATCTCCAAAATATACCACCGCTGAAACAGCACCCTGCCCCTTGGTCACAAGGCTCCTCCTGAGATCCAGATGTCCCCTCTCCACTGTTATTTCAAAGAGCCATGACGACTTAGATCTTTATCCAAACTTTTGTTAAAGAAGAGTGAGACCTCTCAATTCATCACACTTGCCATCATTTTATCTTTTTTGTAATTTGTTTGATTGCTTGTGAGCCTTCTGAAGCCATTGAGAGTTGGATGGAATCGATATTTAATAAATTATTATTACTGCTGTTATTTGATAAACAGAAGCTGAAGTATTCAGAATGGCAGATATTGTAGGAGACATGACACCAAACTCATTTTTAGAAGGCTGAAATAATGTCAGCTACTATTCCTTGAATGATGCAACAATGCTTCCAAAAATGCCTCCAATTTGAAATCTACTTCAGGCAACCAAATACCTTGGGCCAGCACTACATGACTGTGCATCTGGAGATAACTTCACAGCTTGTAAAAGGATGGCAACCCACAAACAGCACTTCCCCATAATCTTCCCCACTTCCTATTCCTTATATAGTTTCAGAAGGCAGAAGTATCTTTTCCAAATTTTCACTTCAAACTTTAAGTGGAATCTTGAATTGTCATTGTTGCATCCTGCTTTGAGAGCTGTCTGTTTACTTCAGAAGGGCAGCTGGATAAATTTTTAAGATAAGATGTGTAGGAGAAGGGATGACAGAACCTGAGGTAAGAGTGAAAAGGGGGATCAACCTAGAATTCCTATGTAGACAACCCCCCCTTGAGTGCCATTGACCCTTCTCTAATTCTAACCAGGAGCTGGCCCTCAGTTGGGAAGGTTCCAGCATATAAATTAGTTTAATTGAACCTTCACATGTGGGTCTTATTTGATATACACTAATAAAATACAAGAGAAGGCTAAGTTGGTGTTACTCAGACACATACAGTATATTTTGTGGTAAAGTGCGCATTAGCTCTAAACTGGGGTCTGGGAAGAATGCTCATCAAAATACTGTAGTCAAAAGGTGAATGGAGCTCAAGAGAAGCTGCTGTGAGAGCTTCTTTTATGATTTCAGTTCCCTCACGTACATTTTAAAGACCTCTACATAAATAGCAATAGCAATAACATTTAGATTTATATACCACTTCATAACAGTTTACAGAGTAAACATACACCCCACCCCCAAAACACAATTTGGATCCTCATTTTACCGATCTCGGAAGGATGGAAGGCTGAGTCAATCTTGAGCCGGTCAGAATCAAATTCCTGGCAGTGACTCAGCCTGCGTTTTAAATACTGTGGTACTATAAATTATTTTCTTTACACACCTATTACCTCCACGTAGAAGTCTCCTGATTGCTTATAGTCAGTTCAATAAATCAGTGATCCCCTTTTTGGCACCAAGGACTGGTTTCATGGAAAATAATTTTTCCATGGACAGAGGGAGGGGGTGGTTCAGTTTCACGCACCCACCGCTCACCTCCAGCTGTGCAGCCCTTTTCCTAACAAGCCACAGAGAGGTACCAAAATGTTACCTGGGGTTGGGGACCCCTGCAATAGATCATTCCATGTAGGATTTTTTTCTTAAAATAATTAAAATGCTGTGGCAAATTCTACATGAGTCTGCAGTTCTTTGTCCCAGATCTAGCTTTTCCCTTAGTGATTAATTGGAGAGGAAAAAGGCACTAGCCATCATCTCAGATTCCTTATGCTAACTAGGGCTTACAACATTTAAGTCTAATACAAGGATAACAAGTTTGGGAGAAAAGTTCAAAGGCAAGATTGCAAATTTGAGACTGCAAACCTATTTGTATAATTTTAAAATGGCTTACAGGGAAAATAGGCACATGATGAATCATTTTAATTATACTAAATTTAATTTAAATTGAATCAAATTTATTTCCCTTATTTACTTCTTTGTTCTGCACCCATGCACTTGTTAGAATGCAGTTCATAACTGAACAGTTATAGAAAAATGCCAACAAGAGGTCTAAGAAAATAAAAACTTTCAACAAACCTCTGAGGGTTTCTTCTCCTTTTGCCTTGACCAACCAGATTTTGTATTTGGAATTTTGGAGCATCTTGAAGTTGATGTTGTTTGACCTTTGAAGAAAAATAAATTAAGTTAAAGATAAACCAAGCCTTAAATTAAGAACAGCTTAATTGCAAACCAAATGTTGTTTGCAATACACAAATCTCAAATGCTTTCAGCTTTCAGCATGGAATGCCAACATATGCTGGCAATTTCAATTTATCAAAATCTGACACCAAGTCTACATACTGCATATACCATCTTTAGCTTCTGAACGAAAGGGATAAATAAATCATAAATGGAGTGTACTGTTAGTATCCTTTGACATTAAAATATCTGCAGATTATACAAACTTAACTCTGCATTTTAAAAAAGTTCTATTATTACTGTCAGTGCGTCTTACCAGAAAATATGTGTGTGTGTGTATGTGTGTGTCTGTCAATCTCAAGGTTAAAATCCTTAACTTCTTCCTGCTTTACCAACAGACTTCTGATAGTTCTTCTCTAGCATTGAAGCTCTGTATCATACATCTCTTGTTTACAAAAGAGTTTTCTCAGGCATGAGGCTCAAGGGTCTTTACCTTACCAACTTCAACCTTTTCATGCAGTTTTTTAATCATTTCCCCATTTCAGCCCTCCCCTTCAGGGTCAGCTCTATTCATGTTGACAAAGATGATTTACTCTATGGCATGTTTGCTTGCTATTTTCATACCTTTTCCCCAAAGAATTATAAACATTTACTACAGAGTGATCTCAAACCTCCTGACCTGCATGGCTTTAAATGGTTCCTTTGTCTTTCTTCACATTTTTTTCTTGGTTAGAGAACTATCAAACTTATAATCACTATCTTGATTGGAAAAAACAGAGCAAATTTACTCATCGATTCCCCAAATCCAACCTGGACTCAGGTATTTCTTTCTAAATGGGACATTCAAGATGGACACAGGTAATTATTTATTGCGTTATTGTCTTGCTGCTGGACCCACAAATGAAACTAGAAAGTGTACCAGAGACCAGAAGGTTGATTTGCTTGTATGTTTGCATATGAGTGCTGGGACCTTGGGAGACAGTCATTATTTTAATGTTTATTTTCATTTTAGAAAATAATTTAATATACATTTAGAGACAAATAACCCATTACCAGGTAAAGGATGGAAAACCAATACTTGACTGAAGTTTTAAATTATTTTTATTCAAATTTTATGTTTTTACTTGGCTATCCCAGAGAAGTAGAAATGATCATGGGTTAGAAAACATGGGTCTCAGGAGTTCTCAACCCCTCTATGTCTGCATTCACACAACATGTTAAGCTAAAATACTGTTAGCTAATGTATTGGCTCAGTGTATTTGCAAGCCTAACCAGAGCAGTTAGGTTATGGTCGGGGTGGAATTCAAATTTTTTAACAACCGGTTCTGTGGATGTGGCTTGGTGTGGCCAATTCAACATCACTCACATCGAGGCATGAATCTCCTCGCCTGGCCTCTCATGACTGTGGGGATGCTGCCCCAGTCGCAAGTGTGAAAAATGGTCATAAATCACTTTTTTCAGTGCCATTGTAACTTTGAATGGTCACTCCACACAAGCAAAGTACCAGCAAAGGAGGGGAAAAAAACTCCAGAGAAGTTCCTGAGACAGGAAGTCTAGTCCTGCCAAGAATGTAATAAGGGTTAATGGAGAGGCAGTTTCAGTAAGCAACACCAGAATGTTTCCTTCCTGCCTTCTTTACAGAGTTAGGCCAGTAATTTCTTCTAACAACCAGTTCTCCAAACTGCTTAGAATGTTAACAACCAGTACTAGTGAATAGGTGCAAACTGGTAGAATCCCACCCCGGCTATGGTTGTATAGTTTGCAAATCCAGCAATTGTACTCATTCACAAAATAAAGCAGTTTAATTAACTGTAAATTAGCATGCATTCATGAATTCAGGCATTACTTCCAGTCTCCTTCAATTTGCTTTGTAATTATGAACTTATGGTTATGTCTCTTTTTCATGTATCTGGGTCCTGATAGAGACTGGAGTAAGAAAATCTGGGTTAAATTAGCATTTTTATGCAATTCATATTTCCCAGCCTTGGGTTTTGCACCTGTGAGTTTGAAATTGCTTGCCTCAGTTTGTCTCTTCCATGGAATGAATTAATAATAAGCAGAAAAATGTGGGTAAGGTAGATTTCTTCCATCAGCCACCCCACTTTCGCACTCACAGTTGCCCAAGCAACTTCTATGCAATGAACTATGTTTGAGAAAGAGGAATATGGTCTCAAATCATTGCTTTTTAATACTGATATACAATTGTGTTCATATACCTTGCTAAGTCACAAGTCAGTATATACTGAACCCTGACAATTTTATTTTATTTATTTGATTTGTCAATCTCTTAAAAGGTAATAGGTGTAAGTATAAACATGAGTAAGAATACAGGAAATAGATATGAATAAATCGGGACAATAAGACAGGGACGGTAGGCATGATGGTGCACTCATGCACACCCCTTACAGACCTCTTAGGAATGGGGTGAGGTCAATAGTGGATAGTTTGAGGTTAAAGGAGTGGGGGTTAGAGGATGTAACAACAGAGTCAGTTAGTGCATTCCAGGCATTGACCACTCTGTTGCTGAAGTCGTACTTTCTGCAATCGAGTTTGAAGCAGTTTACATTGAGTTTGTATCTGTTGTGTCTTCTTGTATTGTTATGGTTGAAGCTGAAGTAGTCATTGACTGGTAGGAGATTGTAGCAGATAATTTTGAGTGCTATGCTTAAGTCTAATCATAGGCAGCGTAGTTCAAGATTGTCCAAGCCCAAAATCTCAAGCCTATATAGAGTATTTTGTTATGAGCAGAGAAGTGTAGTACTCTTCTAGTGAAATACTTCTGGACTTGCTCAATTGTATTATTGTCTGATATACAGTGCGGATTCCAGACTGATGAGCTGTATTCGAGTATTGGTCTAGCAAAAGTTTTGTATGCTCTAGTTAGCAATTCGATATTTCCGGAGAAGCTTCGTAAGATTAGATTTACAACTTTTAATGCCTTTTTGGCAATGCGGTTACAGTGAACTCTGGGACTTAGGTCATCTGATATGAGAACTCCAAGGTCCCTGACAGAGTGAGGATCATCAACAAGATCATATCCACCTAGTTTGTATTTGGTGTACTGATTTTTTTTACCAATGTGTAGGACAAAGCATTTGTTGGTAGAGATTTGGAGTTGCCAATTTTTTTATCATTCAGACACATAATCAAGGTCTCTTTGAAGGACAGTAGCATTGCCGGTGATGTTGAATAGTTTTACGTCATCTGCAAAGAGGACGCAGTTGCTTATAAGTTCATTTATATAGAGTATAAAGAGTGTGGGTCCTAGAACACTGCTTTGGGGGACACCCCTGTTAACTTAACTTTGATATAACGCTCCCTATTTTTACTGTTTGTTGCCTGTTTGACAGGAACCCAATAATCCATTTATGACGGGATCTGGAAATGCTGTAAAAAATTTAGTTTTAACAGTAGTTTGTCATGTACCACTGAATCAAAGGCTTTGCAGAAGTCTATGTAAATTGCTTCTATAGCTTTACCCTGGTCAAGTAGATGTTTTTGCAATGTAGGAGTTGAAGATTGCAGGACAATTTTTTCCTGAAACCAAATTGTTTTTTGGAGAGTAGGTTATTTGACTCTAAGTGGTTAATTGAGTGGTAGTTAAGAATTTTGCAGCCCACTTCTAGAAGTTGTATAATCTGATTATAGCTAAAATCAACTCTAATTGAATTATATCAGCAAATTTTAAGTATGATGCTCCCATCACCTCAAATTCTCTGTTCACTGGTTTTCTTATCCTTGCACTTTTAAAGAGATTGGTTATCAAATCTTCTGGATTACCTTTCATATCTATATTTGCAAGTAATTCAAAATATAATTAGAAGTCATGTTCAGGATTACTTTTTATGCTATATAGTAGTTTTACAAATGTTAAGCAAAGTTTATTTTTATCAAAATAAAACATCCCATTTAATCTAAAATCCATTTTTTAATGTATTTATTTCTATCCACTCTGCTTTAGAGTAGCTTAAAGAAAAAATGCAGCTTGAATACTTATCAACTATCACAACAATGTTTAGATAAAAGTGAAAAACACTTTTGAAGACTGCAGTGAAGAAGTCAAGCAAGATTCCTTATGTCCATCTCAAGTGTTGTTGTTTTTTCCTTTTCCATTTAATTGTGTCTGATACTCAGAGACTGCCTGGATAGTTTTCTTGATGAGTGTAATTTAGTAGAATTGCTGTGTATCCACATAAATAGACTGTATAAGTTCCAGACTTTCATATTAATTGTACATAATATTATTCTCCCTTAATTTATTTTAAAAGAGCTACCTAATACTATGGATTTTTAAAAGACAACTGGTAGAGGGCTCCCTGCATTTCAAAGAAGATATAAGGATTTCAGGTTTTTTTTAATGTTCCTTTATTTTGTTTCTAGAGATTTTACTTTGTTTCTTTGCAGGGCTAATGTGTTTTCTTTTTAAAAGACACTGTTCTTGCAGCAGTGCAAAGAAGGACTCCACACCCATAATCCTCATAGTGAAGATTCTGGAGAATGCTTCAAAGCAAATTGTCACAAGGAATTAATTGCATGTGCTTCTTTTGCTTTCCAATCCCAGTAGGTAACATTTTATTCTACTACCTCATATATCAATTCCCTCTTGAATCTGAGGCTTACAAGTCATCTTATTGGTAGCTGTTGTGGTCCACTGGCAGCCTGTGGAGACGGCAGCAGAATCAGGCAGTGGGGAAAAACATGGGCCAGTTTGGGAATCTGGGGAGAACTCAGACGATGGTCCTGCCTCCGATACAGAGATGGAGCCAGGGCCATCTAGGAGTTATGTGCTGACTCCGGAGCCTCCAGAATCTGACAGCGATGAGGCAGAGGAACAAAGGGAGCCTGTTCCCAGTGTGCGTGTGCGCAGAGCTCCCTGAAGGCAAGAGCAGCTAAGACAAAAGGGGTGACTCGGTAGTAAGGCTTGGAGGTGATTGCCCCTCCCATAAGATATAAAGGAAATGCAAAGGGACAGGAACCTTTGCAGGAAGCAAAATTGTTTGCTCTGGTCAGTTTGGAACCTGAAAGCTCCGTGGTGAATTTGTGCTCCGTTTGGTTTTGAAAGACTAATTGGTACTTTAGTCATTGGCAGCGCTTCAAGAAAGATAAAGGTGCACTATTATCAGACTTCTCCCAAAGAATTTTGGCAGACTTCCATGGGACTATTTATAACTGGTTGAGACTCATTATGGGCTGTGAATGACAATAATTCACAGCCGTTGAACTTAAATAAAATGGTTTTGGATTTAACGTGTGTTTGTTGGTGTCTCAGGAAGCCTTGGTCAGAATAGTAGCATCTTTAATACACAAAAGAATATAAAAAGATATAAAAAGACCCCAAAAGGATATAAAAGTTGTACCATAAAGAACATGATGAGGTTCTTTGTTTGGTTGTGTGAGTGTGACTTTAAGTTAGCGTTAATTCTTGGTGACTGTCCTGAAAGTCCCGGCATGATTCCAGAAGTGATTTGCCATTGCCTTCTTTCTGGGACTGAGAGAGAGGGACTGGCCCAAGATCACCCAGCTGGCTTAAAGCAAGATCAGAACTCACAGTCTCCTGGTTTCTAGCTGGCTGCCCAACTATCACAATGAACTACAAGACCTGATGGTTTTTAAGTACAAACCGAATTTTAAATCAACACATTTGCAAAATTTAGACCAAAGCAATTTTTATTTTAGATGACATTTGATTTATGCTGTGCCTTTCTACTCTAATGAACAAGGATTTTTTTTTACAAATTATATACACATATTATTTTTAAAAATTTAGTCAATTTGCAAGCAGTGACAAAATTGCAGAGTTAATGCTGTCCTATAAACATCAAACATACTCTCCCCCCAGACACCTGTAAATCAAATATTAATCTTAATAAGGAAGGACTTCTTTCCACACTGAATCATGCATATTATTATACTTTAAAAAACCCTATCTTCAAATAAATATAGAAATAACATGGAAAGGTTAGTTTTTAATCTTTTATCTTAAATTTACACATCTCAAATTATAATGTATACTGCCCCCCTCTTTCTGAGAGAGGGAGCGAGAGAAGGGGAGAGAGGGGGAGGGAGAAGAAGAGAGAATTAATTAACAGGTAGCAACTCTGGGCAAATCTGACTCTTTTCAGTAGTATTATCTTTTCTGAAATTGTGACTCTCAGAGACTGAGGGAAATGGCAATAAGGTGCTCTACGTGTGTGTGTATGCACACATATTTATAGAGTCATCCAGCCGAGTATTGTTTCCTCTCCCTGAAACAGCCGCAGAACCACCTGAGAACAAAGCAGGTACCCACTAGGATTTTCGTTGAGTAATATTGGGACACCCCCAAAATATAATAGTCCTAAAAATATATAGTTTTGCCTGCAGACTTAAAAAAAAACACAGCTTCTTTAATATCAATCACTCTTTAAATAGCTCTGCCTCATCTCTGCTGGCTTTGCTTTTTATACAGCGGGTCATATTTTAACTAGAGTAATCATAAACCTAACTACAACCTCCTTTTTCCAAGAACAGATAACAGCTTCACAGTGTCATGTGGCTCTAAATGTCACACCTTGTACCTTGTTTAAAGGTAGGTACAGGTTTATTGATAAGTTTACATAACATTTGCAAGCCAAAGTTCCATGCCTGGTACAAGTCCAAAGCCAGTTCTTTTGGTCAACTGAGATAGCCTTACACAATTTATTTTAACTACACTATTGCAGCCTCTGGCTTGTTTTAACTGCCCAAACTCAGACATTAGTTCTTAAGCACCATGGGTTCCAACTAGGGCAGGGGTGTCAAACTCAAGGCCCGGGGGCTGGATTTCGCCTGTGAGGTGCTTAGAACTGGCCCAAAGGGCTGCCCTAGAAACAGTGAAGGACTGAGCCCCAGTGCCTCTGCCAGCAAAAATAGCGGTCAGGATGGCTGCATGCGGTCCTCCCAGGCCCCATTTTCAGCTGCAATGCTTTCTGCAGCCTTCTGCTAGCAAAAACAGAGCTCTGGTTTTGCTGGCAAAGGGCTGCAGGAGGCCATTGGGGCTAAAAATGAGGTCCGGGGGGGTGGCCTGGGCAACCCATCTGAGCTGTTTTTGCTGGTGTATTGCTCAGGCTACCATAGGCACTCCCAACATGTGATATCAAACTGTCCACACCCATTGGCCCCCGAGGTCAAACACAATCCTGATGTGGCCCTCAACGAAATCGACTTTGACAACCCAGATCTAGGGCTTAGATTTTAACAGGAAGAAGCAGTAAAAGTAGGGTATCTTCATAATGTCACTTGGATATGGCAACGTAAAAAATGTAGAATGACAAAAGTATACATTTTGACTAAACCTTTTGGTTTGGAGAATAATTTTGAAGCATGTTCTATTTCAATATCCCCATCCTTGTAATTACTGTCTGGCTACCAGATAACTCAACTTGAAGCCCACCTGTGTTTGCAGATAGGCTTACTTCAACATCAAGGTTTTGCCATTGACCAGTTATGCGCACATTACTCACAACAGGAAGACAAGTAGTTCCAAGACCTTCATTGACAGGTATATATTTACTTCTTGTAATATATTTATAAGTAATCCCTGTACACAATTCATTGTCCAGGGACTACCTGTAACATGTAGTTTCCCCAACTGTCTGCATGTAATTATTCAAATTCTTTCCCTGCTGAAGGTGAATCATTGGTTATCTTGTTGTAAAGTTTGAATAAAAAGTCTTACTGTCAGTAGTGTCTGAGTTATCACTGCTGATCGAGTATTTTCGCCGTTTCTCTTCCATCTGTAAGAAAAGAAATTGAACATTACATTTGCTGCTCAAGAACTCATTATGGCACCAAATCACTGTTATCTCAGGAAATCCACACATCGCATTAACACCAGCAGCACCAGTGAATACTTAGCCTAATGACAGTAAATTACTACGGGCCTTTTTTAAAAAACTGTTTTTTAGATGTAACGTTGTTTTCTTTTCTATTCTCTGCCTCTTGGATGCATGAATGTATCTTGCTTTTAATTATGCAACATATCTCCTAAGTATAATTTTCAAACCACCCATACAACTTACCCAAATCTAAGGATTCTCCACTAAGGAATTTACTTGGTAAGTCCATAAAAATAATGCAACTAAAATGCTATCTTGCAACTTATTATTCAAATTCAACAACCAAATGAATTAAGAGTTTGGGAGAATACATTTGAAAAGCATCTGAGGATAAAATTGCAACAGCATGGACCAATGGCATGAAACCAAACTATAAAATGAGGATGCAAATGGTTTTATTTTGAAACAGTTGTATTCATATATAAATGGGAGGGGAAAATGAGAACTTGGACAAGTAAGTAGTCTTTTGGTAGCTTGCTTGGAATCTAAACTATAGGTGGTTGTTCTATATAGAAAGTCAATGAAATACAACGGCCTGCTATGCAGATTTCAAATTTTCTCCAAAAATTAAAAGTAGTTGGCCATTTTTCTTAGGATATGAAAAGTATCACTCCACAATGAGATCAGCTTTTATTATGCTTATAACAAAATGCGGACCATTTTCCTTCCACAACAGATTGTTGTAAAAAAATGTCCCAGAGCTGTTTGCTCCTTGCTAGGTTTTTGGTATGAAACAGGTGACTTAAGATCCTGTTGTATTACTGTAACTATGTACACTGTAATGTGTACATGTCTGAGTTTAAGTTCGTTTTACTTTAGTGACCTTTAGAGTGTATTTGTTCTATGCCAAATTCACAGTTTTATGTATATTCTGCCATATTTATTGTGTATGTTTATGTATATAGTTATTTATAATGTTGATTTCTTCTGTGAAATCTACATGGCAAGCAAATTTACTAAATAGAGGGCTAAATAAATAAATAGTAAATAAAAAATTCTTTTTGCAGCCCTGGTTTTAATTACATTTTACCCAGCTAATGATTTTTATCAATACAGAGTAAGAAAACCATTTAATGATATTTCAGCAAGTATAATCAAACCTGTAGCAATAAGTAGAACAAATAGAGGTTGTATTCTACAGGTTACTTCCAATTGTAGATGTGAAAAAACAGCTTGAAAAAGATTATGGGAAGATTTTACATACAATTTAAAATATATTATTTGCATATATAGATAATTGCCATTTTATACACCAACTGACACATGAGGGAGTAATACCCCAAATGCAATGCTGTGTATCTATAGCACCTATAGCAGTATCTCCATGTTAAAATAGAAGTGAGCAGATCAGTGTTAATAAATATCACACATATCTCATCTGGTGCATATAAGATACAAGCTATCTAACCGTATACACAGCACACAAATGGTGGCAAATCATTCCTATAAGTTAGAGATAGTTCTTGACTTACAACCATTTATTTAGTGATCATTCAAAGTTACAACAGCATCGAGAAAAGTGACTTCAAATATATGACCGTTGCAAAATTCCCCACAGTCACATGGTCAAAATTTGGGTGCTTGGCAACGGGTTCATATTTATGATGGCTGCAGTGTCCCAGGGTTTTGTGATCACTTTTTGCGACCTTCTGATAAGCAAAGTCAATGGGAAAGCCAGATTCACTTAATAAACATATTACTCACTTAATAACTGCAGTGATTCACTTAACAACTGCGGCAAGAAAGGTTGTAAAATGGGGCAAAATTCACTTAACTGTTGCTTGGTAACAGAATTGTTGGGCTCAATTGTCATAAGTTGAAGACTACCTATAATTAATTAATTTGGAGATTTTTTTCTACTTTCCATTGAATCAAATAAAAAAACATTAAAAACAATATCAATTGTTCTGTAACAGCACAAAATCCTTAGTCCAAACTGTTCAGAAAAATATACAGGTAGTCTTCGTTTAACATCCGCTTCAGTGGTGGGATTCAATTTTTTTACTACCGGTTCTGTGGACGTGGCTTGGTGGGTATGGCAGGGGAAGGATACTGTAAAATCCCCATTCCCTCCGCACCCCACTAACCTGCTTTCCAGCTCCGTTCTCCTGTGCAGGCAACAAAAGAAGACCCAGCAGATCAGGAGGCAGAGAATAGATGGGGGCAGGGCCAGTCAGAAGTGGTATTCCGAACTTCTCAATATTCCCACTGCCTGTTCTCCAGAACTGGTCAGAACCTGCTGAATACCACCTCAGATCTGCTTTTTCAGTGACCAGTTACAAAACAGCATTTAACAAGGGGGGCTCACAAGGGGTTCCTGTAGTTATGGCCATTGTAGTTTCTGTGTGGTCATGTGACTAACTCAAGTACTTGGAAACTGACTTGCAAGTACAATGCTGCAGTCATATAATTGCCATTTGCAACCTGTACTGCCAGTTTCTGGCAAGGAATATCAAATGGAGAAGGCAGCAGATTATCACAAATGGCATTCATGAGACCATGGGACACTGAGACAGCAAGGTTCATCTAAGATACAACAGATACTGGTACTGCTGGAACATTGCCACTGTACAGTGATATTGTATCTTATGACCATAACAGTTAACACTTAAGAACAGTGTTCCTGGTTCCAAATACCACTTGTTAGTTAGGATTCCCTGTAGTTATATTGGGGTTCCTATGAAAGTGTATAGATCAAATCATAGCAGTATCCTGCATAACGAAAATGAGGCAATTGCATTTTCACACGTACAACCACTGCGGCATCCCCATGTCACATGATCAAAATTCAGATGCTTGGCAATCCGTCCTGTTTATGTGATCACCTTTTGTGATTTTCTGACAAGCAAACTCAATGGGAAAGCAAGATTAACTTAACAAGCACATTACTAACTTAACAGCTGTGGCAGGAAAGATCAAAATTCATTTAACAAATATCTCACTTAGCAACAGAAATTTTGGGCTCAATTGTGATCACAATTATATCCTTATAGTGCCATTACATGCACTATATTAGCACAGGTATACATATAGTTTTGTGGCCATTTTCATAGGTCTAATTTATAGGGATTGTAAATGAAGTGCAAAATTTTAATAGCTAGTTGCCAATTTGCAACCAAGAGACAATATATGCAGCTTTATATATCCTGCAATAAAGGAAAATTGAGGTGGTTGCAATTTCAACTTCTTCCTTCATCTCTTCATTTCCATGAGCTGTGGCAAGACTGGATCATAGTCTTGTTGTACTTCATCCTAATGTTTTCCACCTGCCTCCCCAAGTGACAGATGCATATATATGGGAGAGAAAAAAAATCAGAATCTGTTTAGAAACAGACAAAAGAAACTAAAATAATCTGTTTCCTCATTGCATGAAAAAAGTTATCTGCTTGACTACACCTTAAGTATTGAGGCAGAGGTCTCCAAACTTGGCAACTTTAAAGACTTGTGGACTTTAACCCCCAGAATTCTTCAGCCAGCAGAGCTGGCTGAGGAATTCTGGGAGTTGAAGTCCACAAGTCTTAAAATTGCCAAGTTTGGGGATCCCTGTATTAACGGCTCATACATTTTCTTGGCACGAGAAAAAGTCTTTGTTGACACACCTGCTTTACAAAAATTGAAGTAATGCAGGTGTAGTTAGCATGCAATTACAAAATTATCTCATAAAAGGAAACCACAAAAAATCTTAACACACTGGTCTAAGGTTGTCTAAGCTATCGCCAAATAGATACTATTTAACTTTCTCTAAGGCTGAGGGCGGAAAGAACAACCAAACCATAGAAAATAGTTTTGTTTGTGGTTTAATCACTAGAGCTATTAAGAGAAAATTGCACTTGATGACAAGACCACAGGATGCCTTTGGAGGAGATGACAATCTGCAAAGGAATTCCCATAAATACTAAATCATAAAACCTTAAGTACCGCTTTCATCTCCAACACATGTGCAATATTTTAACATACCACTATGAATGATAATAACAGTGAACTAACATAAGCATTTTTACTGACAATGTTGTGATAAAAAATTGCCCTGTCAAAACATGATTAAAATTACTTCTTGACAATATGACTTTATCAATACTTCGCTCCAGTAATTCAGAGGGAACAGATGTTATTAAACCAGCCTTGTACTTGACGACTATTAGATTTCAGGGAGAGAAAAAGGTGCTGAAGATGGATTGAAGAGAGTTTATAGAGCTGAAATTCCAACTGAACACAGTATTGATTTTTGCTGACTAGGTCAATGTAAAAACTCCAAAAGGACAAAGGTAAAAAAAAAAAACTATAACAGGGTAATTCCTGCTTCTTGAAGCTAAGAACAGAAAAATATTTTAGCCACGTTCTCATGCTATCCTACATAATTCCCTTAGAATGCAGTGCCTGTGAGTTATATTTAATGGCATCCTATCTAGATCTAAAATCAGGTTAAATGAAAAATACCTATAAAATTCTACTACTCTATTTTCCATCAACTTAAACCAACCATTTTGCTATTTAGCACTACTTCCACCCTTTATTTTTTACACCTGCACTTATGTGCTCTTTCTCAAAAATAGAATTTATGTGGAGGAAATCCATTTGAATTCAAGAACCAGCTTCATCTAGTGAACTAAATGAGTTCCATGAGAACATACTACTACTCTCTAAAATCCGTGTGCCAGCACAAGCTCACTAATCTGTGCAATAAATAAATAACTTGGCAGAGATTAGCGGGATTTTTTATGAAGCTATATAATTTTTCCACTTGTAAAATGATGCTAAAAGTCTGGTGCTCATTTTTCTTTTACGTCAAGCTTCTCTCCTATATAGGAGCTTGCAACATCTTATCTTGTAATTCTGTCTTCCCTAATCTGGTAGCTTTGAAGCCGCAACTTCCAAAATTTTCAGACATGTTGGTAGGA